GCCGGGGGCTGGGGGGCCGGGGGCGGCCCGGGAAGTGCATTCCTGACCACCACCCACTCCTCTTGTCGCCCCACCAGGCCTCTTCACCCTCCTGGTGGAAGATTTCGGTAAGCGCCTCTCCTACCCGCCGGACCCAGGCTGTGGGGGCCCACTCTTGCTCCCTCGCTGCACGGCCAGGAGCTCGCCTTCCCGACTTCTTTTTTTTTACCTGATCGCAGGTGTCAAAGGGGTGCAAGTGGAGGAGATCTATGACCTTCAGAGCAAGTGCCAGGGGTGAGTGGCTTGGCTGCAGGACCGCCTTTCACATCTCGAGGGAAGGGCCTGGGGAAGAGTGCCTCTCAAAGGGGGTAGTATCAGGAACCCCAACTTGTAAAATCTCATATAAGGAAGCATCCCTCCTCTTTGGGTGCTCTCCTGATCAAGCTGATATTTTTGTTTTCTCCCAGGCTTCCCTCAGCACTTCCCTTTATGTAGTAGCACCCCTCCCCCCATAAAGATTCTAACCATCCTTTGGAGTACAGTTCAGTTGCTTTTTCTGTATGGAGGAGGAAGCCAGGCCCTTCTCTAGACCCAGATCACAAAGTGCCTTTTGTGCAGCTGTAAGTTATTAATTACTGCTTTAATGTGTGGGTGTGCCAGTGCCTTTAATCTCCACACAAAGGTCTTGTATTGATTGGTTGGTATGTGGCATCTACAAGGCCCCTCCTGGGTGACCAACCTCAGGGTCTTCTTTCGGTGGTCTTGCAAAATAGAGGTGTGGTGGAACTGCTACAGTGACTGAACTGAGAAGCCTGCTTTTATTTCCCAGAAAAGAAGGGACTGATATGGGTGTTCATTTTCTTCCTTGGCTGCATTGGGGCTCAGGCCTTAGGGTTCACAAGTGAGAATTAGTGTTTAAATTCCTCATCAGAGTTTTTGTTCTCACCTTACCTTCTGTTCCTACCCTGTTCTGGGCCATTGGTCCCTGCTTTTCTTCTCTTTTCCCAGACCATAGACTTCATAAGGACACTGGGTGGACTCCTGGAGAACCACAGCCAGAAGCTGATGCTTAGACTGCCTGTAGCGGGCTTCTGGGGTGTGAGGGCTCAGAGCCACTTTGGGCAGTGTTGGGAAGAAACCAGGGGAGAAGTGGGATTACGGGAAGGGCACCTGAGTGGTAACGCAGTGCAGGGGAATAGGGGGAGAAAAAAGGGGATACTGGTCCTAGCCAGTTTTGCTCAGTGGTTAGAGCATCGGCCCAGAGACTGAACTGTCCTGGGTTCGATTCCAGTCAAGGGCATGTACCTCAGTTGCAGGCTCAATCCCCGGCCTTGGTTGGTGTGTGAGCAGGAGGCAACCAGTTGATGTGTCTCTCACATCGATGTTTCTCTCTCTCTCCCTTACACTCTCTGAAAAGCAATGGAAAAAATATCCTTGGGTGAGGATTAAATAAAAAGGGGGGGTACTGGTTGCCTTCCCCAACTTGGCTGGTTTAGCTCTCTGCTCCTTACTTTCCCCAGCCCTGTGTATGGATTCATTTTCCTGTTCAAATGGATCGAAGAGCGCCGGTCCCGTCGCAAGGTCTCTACCTTGGTGGATGATACATCTGTGATTGATGACGATATTGTGAATAATATGTTCTTTGCCCATCAGGTCTGCTGGGCTCTGTGTTCTGTCTGGAGGGTGGGATGCTGCCATTTTCTTTGCTTGGGAAGTGGAAGTGGGAGAAGGCAGGAGGAGAAGATAGGCAGACACCAAGGGTGGTGGTTATGGAAGTCCCTTGGCAGAAGGAACTGAGCTCTTATTCATTAAAAAGGAGAATCTTTAGAGCAGTGTGGGGTCTGACTCCACTTCCTATGTCCCCATACATCTGGTGGGTATTTAAATGAACAAATGTTGGGCAAAGATGAGGGTTGTTGTCCAGATAAGACTGTCCCTCTGTGGGTCCCCATTCCTGATGAATGTGGGCTTTGATTGAGGGATACTGTGTATGGGTGACTGTTCTTGGTTCCGCAGCTGATCCCCAACTCTTGCGCCACTCATGCCCTGTTGAGCGTGCTCCTGAATTGCAGCAATGTGGACCTAGGGCCCACCCTGAGTCGCATGAAGGACTTCACCAAAGGCTTCAGCCCAGAGGTAGGCCACAGTGCCTTAATTCTGGATCACAGCTGGCTCGGCAAATCTGACCAGGGCTACTGGTGATGCCACTGCATGACATTTGACACTAGGAGGCTTTTTACTTTTCACATGATCATTTATATTACATTTGACTCTTAAGTTAATTTTTTAAGGCAATTAGTTTTAGGCCCAATTATCAGGAAAGGAGACAAACCTGTAGAAGGAAGGAACATTGCTTAAGTAACACCATTTGAGAACTTTGTCAGCACTTTACAGGCCACATTGCTCCCAGTGTCCACTGATTACTATGCAAGGCCATTAGAGCCCATCTGTTTGGGGCTCCAGAACTCTCTTCTGCCCTTTAGGAGAGTCCACCTGTGCTTCTTCAGGTTATTGGAACCCTCTAGGCCTG